AACGAAGCATTAACACATGTTAGACTGCACCCCATAAACACAATCAAGCCTAGAAAAATCCCAGTGAACCACCCCTTTAAACTTAATAAACACTAAATTTCATTTGATGAGCTAAAATACAGTGTGTATGGCAAACTAATGGCAAGAAAATATTTCTTTCCACTGACATGTCCTCTCGAGCTACACACAAAAATATACAACACCACCTGATTCACAAGTAAATTACTCTTATGAGTCGGTTCTTTTAACGAATCGTTCAAAAAAGTAGCCTGCTCAATATTCATAAAACATCCGTATTATTATATTTCCTATGACAACATGTAGTTAAAGATTTTGTAACTAAACATGTTTAATAAAACACACCCATATATGTATAAAGTTTTGGGGTCAGTACGATTTAAAAAAAATAAACATACTTTTATTTAGCATGCCACGGACAAATAAAATGCATCAAAATAAACATATTAAGATGATACAAAAATATTCCTGTTTCTAATGAATGCTGTTCTTTTGAACTTTTTATTCATCAAAGAATCCATAAAGAATGTAAACCGGTTTCTACAAAAATATTCAGCAGCACATTTATTTACAGCATTGATAATGTTGTAAAGGCTGTTGAAAATTCAGCTTTGCCATCACAGGAATAAATATATTATATTGAACAGAAAACAGTTACATGCAGCCTCGGTGAGCATAAGAGACTTCTTTCAAAAACATAAAAAAAGCAACAACTTTTGAACAGTGTATGTGTTATGACACCCTTAGGCACAAAAAAGTTAGTTCATGACATGAATTCAAGCAATAAGCTTTTAATTGCCTGATGATGACAATGCTGACCTTAAGCCTAGAACATGAGGGGAATAATTTTGCACATGATTTCAGCTTCCAGATAAAGCATGGCATTAGCCAGGTCAAAGCTGTGTGTGATTTAAAAAAAAAAAAAACGGTCAAGACAGAAAATCAGTGTTCTTATCAAGAGACCCCAGGACAGCCACAGGCTGTGTAGAATGAGCATATTCCCGTGCAATACCGGTATTTGGAGCTTTTGTGAATACTTGTGACATACTGTACATAGAGAAGACACAGACCACCGCTGCCTTTCCAAAATCATCGGCCGCATATGGGATTCATGACACATGCATTGTTGTATTGCATGTGTGTCTCAGACTCAGACTGGTTTTAATGGCGGCCTCGTTTATATCCCACTTTATATTATAGAATAGTATATAAGACAGATGGGTCCTCATTCTTCCTTAATAAAACACCATAAAAGAACCTCCCCTGTGAGAAACGTGAACAATGAGCAAATGAAACTGAGCCATGTGTTCTGACAAACTGATCTGTTAATATGTACATTAAGCACATAAATAACATATATAAGTTCTGCTGTCACACGACTAAATGAAGAACTGCACAAAAAGTCAATTTCAGCATATGCTAAGATTCAAATAAAATATAAATACACATGAGTATTACCATAGTATTAAAATACATTTTTCTTGAGCAATGGATGAACTCTTTGCTGCATTACCATGTACCTGTACCCCATTTGGGTTTTCCGTAATCTGTCCATCTGTTTAGTTTTTTTTGGACAGAATACTATGTTAATACCATGTTTTTGTAACTTAAAAACAATTTTTTTTCTCTTGCAATGTTTAAATCCAATGGATTTTGACCAAGTGCTTCATAATTTTATCCAGGCCCTGTTTAAGTGGTGTTGTATGTGCGTAAATTATTGTTATTATATTAATAATATTGATATGCTATGTGGAAATTAGTTTGTAATATATTATATACCACACAGCAGTACTTTCTGTAAGGATCTTCTGTAATTGTAATTAACAAAATGAGACAAAACTTTTTTTTATTTATGTCCCTGTCAATTTTTTCCCCTTCCTATAGTCTACATAATTTAACAAAAACAAAATAATTACTAAAATGCTAATGCCATCTAATGTTTGCTTTCTTAAGATAAGAAGCACACTTAATCAACAACACTTTATTTAACAACATCTTTTGTGTGTGTGTGTGTGTGTGTGTGTGTGTGTGTGTGTGTGTGTACAGGTCAGGTCAGGTTGTTTCCATAAAACCCTCACTACTATCCTAAGCAGATCTTCCTGCAGTCCGAACTGAAACACAACAACATCAGCGTGATGGCCTCACATTAGCCCTCCACTTCGCTGACACCACATCCGCCAGACCACTCTGATCATGTAGAGGCTGTGACCGCTGCTGGAGATTCTCAGGGAAGCTGAGTGTGGCAGTGGCTGAGCTCTGCTAACCTGCTTGTTAACCCTCTTTGTGTGAGAAAACCGTACCGTACCTAAAGCACCATCATCAGCTGTTCATTTGCTGATACTCAGGGCATGTGTGATTACCGACAGGCAGCGGTGAGGAGGTCTCAGCCCCTCTCTGAGTGATTACTAATTACAGTTCAGACTGAGAGGGCGGCTGCTGGTGGAGGAAACCGACCCCAGACAGAACACAACGCCACACTAAAGTTCACAGCAGAAGGAACACTCTGGTTTTTATGTGGTGAGAAAGCAGAAGAGCAATGGAGTGGCTCAGTTTTTAGCCCTAAACCTGGTTATGATGGCATTTTCTAGACTATAGCAGTTTTAGATTCATCAGTAATATAAGGTTCTTTTTTATTTTATTTGAAGAGGAATCTATCTATCTATCTATCTATCCGTCCGTCCGTCCGTCTATCCATCCATGTCTGTCTGTCTTTGTGTCTGTCTGTCTGTCTTTGTGTCTGTCTGTCTGTCTGTCTGTCTTTGTGTCTGTCTGTCTTTGTGTCTGTCTCCCTGTCTTTCTACTGGTCGGTTGAAACTGTTGTGTTTTATAAAAAGTAAGATGCAAGTTACTACAAAAAGACTACAACTACCATCTTCTTCTGGCATCCTTTGCTGCTCCTGAAAACAAAGTGTGCTTAATTCTAAACAAAAGAATGTTGAGGGAGGGAGGTGAATAGATTCCTCATCTTCTTTTCATCTTTACAAGCACTTCCATTTCTGTCAGCCTGCATCAGAGACATTTGTTGCTCGCTCTTTATATGCCTTAACAAAGAGAGGCAGAGGAAAGAATGGCTGCGACTTAAAGTGACAGCAACATTAAAGGATGGCCTTCATCTGGCATCTTGCAGGGAAAGTGACATTTAGAGGTGCACCTTGAGAACTGTGTTTACCGCACTGGACTGTGGGATGCATGAAGAGTCGCACGTTGATGGCACTGTGGGGAATGTAAACTTCAACAGGTGAAATGCAACCTGGGCACATTTTGTCAGATGACTGACATGTTGGAGAGGAGCGTGTGCTGCTTTTATTTGAATGAGAGACAGGTGAGAGCTTTCACATATTCAAATGGATGCAATGAATTCTTCAGACTGCATTAAAGCTGAACCTGAGGCACAAACCTATGTCTGTTCTGTGGAAATATATTGCTCACAAATAAAATGGTATTTTAAGAAGCTATCAATAGAACAAATAATAAAACTGCATTACATTCAAGAGGTAATTTAGAAGAGCACTGCAATTTTAGACGTCTCTAATGTCATGTCATTTTACAGGTGTATAGAATGTTCCAGAGCACAATAGTCTGCAATTCCAAGCCATTACCTTCCACTGCAACGAAAGGCCATTTTCACTGTTTTGACACATGTCACTCAGGTGACAGGTGCTTGCCCAGTAGTATTTTTAGGAATAGGCCTACACTTGCTATTCAGAGCTTGCTGGAACAATTTTTCAGGAGAAATCTTCTCTCTACACTTTTTCTGTGTGACAAGCTTTCACGCTTGTGTGCCATTCATAATGTATTAAATGCAAATAAACATTGACTATTATCTATTACATTTCAAAACATTATTATTATTATTAAAATAATATCAAGATAAATATCGAATGTTATATCTTAATAAAAATTTAAATCGCACCTTTTAAAGGTAACATACGGTATATTTAATAAGGCATAGGCCTAAGACAAGGTAGAAGAGGGCAGCTGTAAAGAAGGCAGAGCCTTATATAAGCCACTCCCCCAAGCTACACTGTGATTGGTTGACCTGATCCAATGAGTGGTAAAACAAATGAAGTGTCACAGTGGGAGATTAGATAAATAAGTGAGTGAGGAGCAGAAGGTGGACTCGGGTTTATTTCAATTTGGCCAGATCACTACAGCGTTGCAGGGTCTCAATCCCTAATGACCAGAGGGGGATGGGAAAGTATATTGTATGGGCTCTGTTTGGAGGAGGGGAGAATAAACAGACAAATGGATCTGAGATAAAGGATTAAACAAAGTCCTTAAGACAGTCTCAACCACAACATTCGGGATCAATGGATGACACATTTTTATTCGAACATTCAAAGTATATATACAGTATATATACAGTATATATATATATATATATATATATATATCAGTATCTTCCATCTCCATGCTATCATGCTATCTTGGTCTTCTTGGAAATGTAGCTCTGATAATAAAAGTTACTGAACAAAGCGATCAGGCTGAAGGCGTAGCTGAGCACCACCATATTCATGGAGTCAGGGAAGTCACAGTCAGCATAGAAGTTGACTGCAGTGTGAATGGTCACAATAAAGAACTGGAGCTGAGGGGGACAAAGAAAGACAGTTACACAAAAGTGACTGATCCTTTATGTTAAGTTATTATTCCCTTAAAAAAATCATAATAAGAGTCTCACCAGCTGAAGGGAAGTGAGGTAGCTTTTCCACCACAAGTACTTATGCATTTGGGGGCCCAATGCTGCCAGGCCATAGTACATATACATCACCACATGAACAAAAGAGTTTATGAGGCCAATAAGGAACGCTGAGGGAGAGAGAACATCTTTAGTAAATCATTCACTGCGTTGACACTTTAGAACATATGGCTCTCTGAAACAGATCAAATAGCAAAATCCATGAGATATTTTTATCAGCTGCCTAACATAATACAATACCACATGCATTTCAGAATACTTTCATTGAGTATTTCTGAAGCAATACATCACCTAGTGGTGTCAGAATGCTATTGCAACTAAATCAACCCCAATATGTAGATGCCCATTTAGGAGCTGAATAATTATATAAATAACTGTATGTAAATAACTAAGAATTCTTAGTTAATTACATTAATACAGTGGGGTCCAAAACACACACACACACACATATATATATATTTTTTTTTTCCATTACAAATTATACTGTAATTATAAGATAATTTGAGTGAGAATTAACATGAACGTCTCCCCCATGATTTGACATAATCCATTTAGCATGTTAAGTTTCAATAGAAGTTTTTGTAGTTTATTACCATATTTTAAATGTTGTCTCAGACTTTTTGACTACATTAGTTTAACCTAATAGTTTATTTTACAATCTGATTAAAGGAATAGTTCATCCAAAAATGAAAATTTGCTGAACATTTACTCATCCTCAGGCCTTCCAAGATGTTGATGAGTTTAACAGATTTTGATAAACTTAATATTACATCACTTGCTCACCAATGGATCCTCTGCAGTGAATGGGTGTCGTCAGAATGAAAAGCTGCGTGTTTGTAATAAAGTCATTATGAAACGTTTTTAACTTCAAATCCTTGCTTCCAGCTAAAATGCAAGTCCTCTATCCATAATATTGAGAATCATGCATAGATCAAGTAACATATACAAATGCAAAAAGTCCAAAACAGTTCTAAAGAAACATGTCGGTGGATTTTGATATGAGAGGACAAAAGTGAAGACGGATTAATAATGAACTTGTTTATTACAAACATGCAGCTTTTTGCATCACAAGACGTTTATTAATTGACTGGAGTTGTGTGAATTGCTTGTGAACTGTTGTGATGTTTTTATCAGCTGTTTGGACTTTGACTCTGATGGCACCCATTCACTGCAGAGGATCCATTGTTGATGTCATGTTAAATTTCTCAAAATCTGTTCTGATTAAGAAACAAACTCATCAACATCTTGGATGACCTGAGGGTGAGTAAATTTTCTTTGTGTGAACTATTCCTTTAAACAGTCAACTTCACCTCTATTCAAAAACTCGACATAGCCTTGTCTTGATTGATAGTAGCAGATTGTTATATTCTGCTAAGTGGACTGTTGAATGTAAATACAATAATCTGTTTTACTCCAAGGAAAGAACACTTACACTGCCCTCCTGCAACATACTTGACCCCTGCCCACCAGTTGAAAATCATGGTGCCGTGATGATACACATGCAAAAAGGTCAGTTGATTGTTCTTCTTTCTCAGAATGAAGAACATCTGATGATAATGACATTTACTAATTAATGTAATAAAACATCATACTACATTCATAAACCATGCTGATATCAAAGGACTGGATAATTCACTTACTGTTTCAGTAAGTTCAATAACTTTGGAGAAGTAAAACCACCAGCACACTCTGGCCATCTGCATGGCATTAAAATGGCACAAAATTAATAAAATCAATAATTATAATAATTATAATTCTTAATCTACTGTTCCAGAAATATTAACTTGTGTGTGGGAAAATGTAAATAATTTATATAAAAATAATTTGCTTACCCTCATTGCCAAGGGGGTTTCAGCGTAGTTCACAGGCTGACACACAAAACTGTAATTTGCCAACCAAGATGATGCTGTGAACTATAAGCAAAACATGAATGAGTGAATGAATGAATGGGACATAAGTATTTAATATTTTAGCTATCATACCTCATAAAACATATAAGCAGAAAGGCACACCATGGAAAAATTGTAAATAATAAGAAGAGCTTTGATGTTGACTGGTTCTCTGTAAGTCATGAGTTTGGGGCCAAGCCAGACGATGACAAGGTAACACAGGAAGATTTCACTGACAGGCAGCGGAGAATAAACCAAAAGCCATCCATCTGTCCTCTTGTCTGTGAGAATGAACGAATTGCTTCATTAGCTCGTTAAACCGCATTATAGCCTGTGGTTAAAGTTGTTTATAAAAGTATTTTCACAGTCTATTGGTTTCGTCGGGACCAATTAGTCAAACGTAGCCTATCCGCATCGGTGTAAATAAAAAGAACTAGCCTATTGTAGTCTACAACTTGCGTTTTCTGTTGTAGTTTTTTGTATCGTATAAAAATGATAAAGAGCAGATTTAAAGTAGAACATCAGACATGTAATTGCTTGAAAAATACCCCCGTTTTCTAGGACCCATTGGTAAAATATCTGGAGCCTTCGCCATGTCGACGGGGATACAGACACCTGAGCGATTAACAATGAAAGAGATGAATCAGGTGTTTGTTAACGTATGGACATAGGCTATTGTAAAAAGAAAATAAGAAACAAGCAAACAAACAAACAAACTAACCCCAGCCCTAACGTATTTTAGTCACTCAACAAATATCTGTGAAATTGTATATTAAGCGAAGATGCCTTACCATTGCGCTCGCTATTCATTCAGTAATGCCCAAACAGCGCCACCCATCGGTTACATTTAGGAACAGCGCGAGAGTTCGTTGAAGGGTGTAACTACAGGAGTAACTGTGTAAAAATGTCAATTATGATCGCTATTTCAGATCCAAGAGAGCGAAAACATGATGTTATCAATGAATTACGACACAGAGCTCTCGTTCAGCATGAATCAGTGGCTCAATGAGGAGTTAAGGAGTTCACACATGGCATCCTCCCCAAGACGGATTACCAAAATCCCCGGATAACTTTATTCTTTACCATCAGCTATTTTGAGCGTTGTACTGTATTAGCCATTTAAAAGTTGCTTTTTAAAAGACACTATCAGTTAAGCGTAATTAATAGGCTACGAAATTAATACTGGTTTTAACTAGTTTTATAAAGTAACCTGAAATGACTTCACTTATAAACTGAATTATGAATTAGAATTGTATTTATTAAAGCTTTACTCTCAATTTAATGCACGAATTATAGGCTGTATTGTTTCCTCTGTAAAGTGATACAAGCTTTGTTAAATTTCCTAAATACATCATGTCAGTTAAAGGAACATGTAGCTGGTTTGTTATTGGTCCAAGGTGGTCTACCAGCCCTAACCAGCACACCAGGTCAGTCCCAGCCCCATCTTGCAGATGGTCTTGGACCAACCCGAGTGACCATAAATGCAACCATGTAATCCAGTACTAATTTACCAAACAAATAATTTCTAAATTCAACAGCGCAGTATAATATGAAGGTTTTGACAGGAATAATTACACATGGTAGATGCTGTATATGATAGATATGTAGATTAATTTTTTTTTAAAGCTCTTTGTATATATTACCACTCTGGGTCATGAACATTTCCTTAACACATCATGTAATCATATAAATACAGGGCAGTTAACAAATAATACACAAAGCAAACTCTTTAGTTCAGCACACTTAGGTATTCCCTAAAAGGAAGGAGGAAAACAGAAGTCTAGTGTGAATGACTCTTCTGCTCAACATCAGTATGCAGACCCCTGACTCAGGTTTAAAGTGCACACTTCATTAAGAGCAATGGAAACCAACTGAATTCCCCCTTTAAGGTCAATATAAGGTCTGACTCAAGAGCAGCTCCGTTGATAAAAAAAGCGTATATTTTTAAACAAAAATTCAACAATTATTGAAAAAAGACACATAGTTGACAAGGGATCCATCAAAGAGCTGTTGAAATAAAACTGCACAGACAGGGGTGGCAAACATGAACACAGGAAAAAAATAAATGAAACCAGAAACTCTGGTTTGCAGACAGAAGTTTATTATTCAGAACAGCCCCCTCAGTTTGGCAACAGCATGAATCATTTGTGTGGTGGCTCTATAAATATGTGCTATTTTTTTTGGCTGCTAAACTCATACACCAGATTTACACCACTTTAAAACAGCACCACTACCAATATACCACTTTAAAATAGTGACTTTACACAGTCACACCGTCATGTCAATTTGACCATTTATCAAGTCTCTTTTGACAACTTCCTCTCATAGAAACAAGCGAAACCTTCTCTTTGTCTCAGTAGCAAAAATTTAGTTTTGAGTGTTAATATTTGGTTTTCAGGGCACATTCTTAGTAGTTTATGATTCTGCGAACAACTGAAATTATTCCACCAACAGTTTACCTCAATTTTCTCAAATTGGGTAACAGGTGCAATATTTGCATCAAGAGATATCAACTACACAGCCAGATGCAGCAAGACCAAAATATTTATTTCTTGAAGAAAAGAAAACGGATACGAGTGAATCAACTCTAGACGGTTGTGGTATTAATGCAAATGGTTTTAAAATGCAACAACCCAAAATAACTTAACCCAGTAAACAAACATCCTCTGTGAGTCCTGCCGTAGCTTCGCCTTCGGCTGGTTTAACAGTCAAGCATTAGTGCAGATTCTTACAAACACAGTGTCTCAGGTCATGACTCCAATCAGTCCTTCATCGCTCGTCACGTTGCCCTCTGGACTGTCACAAGCTGTTATGATGCCCAGGCCGAGCTCTGCTAGTTCATCCTGCATACTTGTGGTCACCATCATTTTGGGCTCCAGGCGATTACACAGCGTCCTGTAAGAAGGCAAAGGGTAGCCCAGTTCTCTTAGGTACTCGTATCCTTTAACCCCCACTGCGCAGCGGATTTTACGGGCTGTCAGTAAAGTACCATGGGACCACACTGCCCTCCGAGAACGCTTGGCTAACGTTAGGGCACGTATCTGATCCTCAAACAGAAACACCTGTAGCCCCTTCTCTATTTTACTCAGTTTGTAAAGGTGTTTCTTCATCTCCTCTGCCTGTGTAACATAGAAAAGGAAAAATGTTACCTGTGCTTTCAATCGCTAATATGTACAATCTATTATGATTTCTAAGAATACATGTTACCTCTCTCTGTAGTCTGACTGTGTGCTGCTGTTGCTGCTCCAGTTTGGTTTTATAATGCTGGCAGAGAGAGCAAGGTCGCTCCTCGTCTGCCCTCTGAACCCCATCCTCCTCTGAATCCACAGGGGGCTGTCGGCGGGCATAACCATGGTCCCCCATGTTCAAGTCCTTTTCCACTAGTTGAACAACATAATATATTCATTTGCAACACACAAAGTGCCCTCAAAGGGACTGTTCACCCCTAAATTGTCATCATTATTCTTGACATTGTATAGAAACGAGCTGTTTAACCCTTGAATGTTTCGACAACCACTAGTACATATTGGAGCCTTTAGCAACATGGAATGTATATCTAACACGGAAGAGCCTCTAAACTGCCCTGACATTGTAATAACAATTACAAAATAATAATAATAAAACATATTTTGTTATCTGTTGAAATTTGGGAGGGCTTTTTGAGCTACTCAAAATGATGATAGCTTTGCCACCATAATCACTTACAGTTACATTCAGCATCTGGCTCATATTGGGGATTTAAACATTTCGATGCATTAATCTTGAAATATTTTCATCATCTTCAAAATCAATATTTTGCAGCAGACAGCTTCCTCATCAGATCCACCATTAACTGATGCTAACTTGCTCTGCAGTGAATCGCTGAACCATGTGAAGATTTGCTGGCGATACTTGAGTTTTATTTTGTTTTATGCTTGCGTAATTTTTATTAATTTCAGATATTTAACATTGTCACATATATACCTACACTATTACAAACTTTTTACAAAAAAAAAAAAAAAAATCAGAAAACAGACATTATTTTACAATTGTGCATTTTTTTCTTATTTTGTTGATAAATGGGGAAATGGAATACTTTTGATAGAGAATGCAAAAGTTTTGGAGGGGAATGCAAGGTGTAGTGAGCAAATGCAAAGTGTCTTGGGGGAACTGAATACTTTGCCAGAGAAGGCAAATTTTTTTAGGAGTGAATACAAAGTTACTTGGGAGCCACAATACTTCTGCAAGAGAATGCAAAAGATTTTCTGGGAAATGCAATAATTGTGCAAAAGAACACAAAAGTTTTGTGAGCGAATGGCAAGTTTCTCAGGAAAATGCAATACCTTAAATGGGGGGAACACTAAATTTAGCAAGCAAATGCAAAGTTTCTTGGGGAAACGCAACGCTTTTGCTAATGAGCGCAAAAGTTTTGTTACCAAATGCCAAGTTTCTCAGGGAAAAAAACAATCCCTTAGGCGAGGGAGTGCAAAAAGTTCTTGGGGAAACAATACCTTTGCAAGAGCACACAAAAGTTTTGCGAGTGCATGCAAAGTGTCTTTGAGGAACACAAAATATTTGTGAGGGAATCCAAAAGTTTTGTGAGCAAATGCAAAGTTTCTCTAGGAAACGCAATACCTTTGTGAGGGAATACAACAGTTTGGTGAGCAAATTATCAGGGAAACACAATAACTTAGCAAAGGAATTCAAAGGTTTTGCTAGTGAAAGCAAAAGCATTGATTTTTTCCTCCCTTCTCCTATTTTTCCATCACCTTGTCCCCTCAGAGGCTCTGTACTAATAACTTTACCTGGCTCATTTTTAACAGGTAACACTGCTTGAGGGGTGACAGGAGAGGGAGGGTCGGGTACATTGAATAGTGTGGGGATTGCGTTGGGTTTGAGCTTCCTTCCCCCTGCTGGTGATCTGGCGATCTCCTCAAACTGGCTTTCTTCGAAGTGGTCCTGCAAGTCATGTAAGTAAATAAAATAAAGCTTTATGGCAAAAAATATGCATATACGATAAAAAAAAAGAAGACTACTATACGATTGATATCATTGTTGTCTTCTGCAGAATTGAATACTCGAATGCTTTTCACTTGCCTGGCACAGTCTGGAGCAGGGAGTCGGTACAAAATCACGCCGACAGTTTACAAGCCACTTTCTCATGCGCACGGAGTCTTTCGGAAAGCGAAAGAGCTGCTTTCCAATAGTTGTAGAGTTCGAGCAGTTTGGAGCGGAGCATCCACCCATTTTTATTTACATTCGCCAAATGTTTAACTTATCATCTGGGCACAACAACGATGACACGTAGCGGTCTGCTAGCAGAGGACTTAGCAGGTGTATTATTAAAAATACTTTACACTTCAGAAAAAGATACAGCAGTTATGTTAGCAGACGCACGCAATGACTTTATGTGCGGTCTCTTTAATGCTTTAAGTATAACATGCGATTCCTTGAGACGAATTAAATACACTAGTAAGTGAAATGCAGAGTTTGTTTGAGCCAAAATGGCGTCGGTAACTTCTTCGGTAGGCTACTTGATGACGTGTTTGCTCAGAGTTGACTTTAGTTATGCCTGTATAAAATTCGTTCACATTTAGCAGATGTAAATTATTGTACATACGTGTATGCATGCGCAACATACTTATATTAAGATAAAGGGATAAATAATAAGTTAAAATAATACGTTTTTCTTATTTTCATGAAGATGCAAAACAATCGTTTAAAATTGCTTTTACCGTACGTTCCTCATTCAAGTCTAGAAGCCAAATAGATATGATCACATTTCATTTTTCAACTGGCCTGATTAATAGTAGTTGTATTGCATTCAGTTCAGTAACAGTTAAATACAGAACAAAAAATACACTTCAAAGAATGTAAGAGAAAGAAGAACAACAACATTACAGAATAAACAAAAACAAACAAAAACGTTAACATATGAGCAGTTGTGAATATGAATTTGAAAAGCCTTTTTTTCATAAGAAAGGGGTTCAAAGTATATGATGTTTTTTTTTTTGAGTCATTCACTTGTGAATGTTAAATTTTGCTGAAGTAATTAAAATATTAATGGTGTATTTATGTTATGTATATATATATTTCTTAAACTGTCAAGTCCATTTTAAAGTAATTAATAGCATTTAGGAAATGTATTATATTCTCATCTAACCTTTACACTCCAGTCCACTAGGTGGCAGAAACGCGCCTCATGCCAACCTTTATTAAACGTAGCAGAAACTCCAGCCGGAAGTATACAAACTCACACGTTACAAACACGGGCGATTGGATTTATAAAAGTGTGAAGAACACATTCACGACGTTTAATGAATAAAAATAGGAGCAGTTGGAAAAACGTTAAAGTTAGACACTTATAATGATGGGAACATGAACATTATAGATATATTCGGTTCTAATTTGCTCTCCCAAATGGCATTTTGCCTACAGTATCTGCATTGACAGCATTATCATTTAGTTTTACTTATAAATAACAGCGGTGTAGAGCGCTGACTTGTTGTCGTTTAGAGCGGCAATTTGCGGTTCAGTAAAGACCAGTAAGAAAATCGCTGTTTAGCAGATGTTAGTTTATCTGGTGAATTTTTATAATGTCATCCTCAGTGATAGTCCCAGTTATAGATGTAACGTTACAGGCAAACAACTTTAAGGAGTTATGGGCAGCAATGGTGATAGCCATTAAAACATCTTCATTCATCGCCATTGATACGGTAAGAAAAAGCATCTGTATCTAGAAACTAAACCGAATGTGAAAATTCAAGTGCTAAATATCCTAACAGAACAAGATCAATCGTGTATGCTGTCTCTTGTAGGAACTGAGTGGTCTTGGATCAAGGAAAGCTCTTCTAGCTGAGTGAGTTGTGCGATTAAAATATTCTTATCCAATATCTTAAAGGACGGGAAAAGTGTTCATGTGTTTTTTTCTTCTTCTTTCTTTCCTTCCTTTAAAGATCCATTGAAGACAGGTACAAAGCCATATGCCATTCAGCCCGCACACGGTCCATACTTTCATTGGGATTTGCTTGTTATAAAAAGCTTGACAACAAAGTAAGTCTGTGCCATTAACATTTATTTTTTTACTCTGAATTAGGGCTGTAAAATCGATTAATCGCATCCAAAATAAGTCTGTGTCTACATAATATGTGTCTGTACTTTGTATATTTATGCATATATATATATATATATATATATATATATACCCACACACATACATACAGTGGGTATACAAAAGAATCACCCCACTTTAAAATAATGACAATTTTTTGCTTTGCAGCCTGAAATAAAGATGGACAGTTTTTGTTTTATCCAGCTGTATTTACTCAGTGCAACTTATAACATCCAAGTGAAAGATATAACACCAGCATGTCAGAAAGAAAAAAAATGAATAAAAAAACAATGGCACACAAAGCCATTTGACTTTCAACTGTGATCAGCTGTGGTCATTTTGATTAGCTCAGGATGAAAAGAGCTTTCCTGGAGCGTTTCAGTCCTGTAGTGCAAATGAAGCAAAATTTCATTATACAGATATGCTTTGACAACAGACTTTGCCCGGGTATTTAAGAATGACCATAACAACATTTCAGATGCTGTGCAATGAGATCGGTCCGCTGGTTAGTCAGGTAATGCCGTTCCATATCGCAAAGTCACATTACATTTTTGATGTGCATGAAGGAATTTATTTGGCAAATGATTTTCCATCTCCCATTATTTGCATTAACCCTTTTTCACACAAGTCAAAAACCACCTCAAGCAAGTGTAAATACTTGTTTGTGAATTAAGTTTTTTTTTTTTTTTTTCGAAATTTCATTTGCAGATATTTTTCTCACTTAATTTTGATAAATTTTTCAGAACACAAAACTTAATATCTTAAGTCATTTTGCTTCTCATTTGGTAAATGAATCTTGAGACCTTTCCATTTCTGATGCGATACTTCAAAATGCGCATAAAAACAGAGTGATGGAAACATAGCTATTGCCTATTGTTTATGTTGGAACATAAACCTTCTTCCCATTGACAACTTTCTGGCAGAGGGCAGCAGATTTTCCTCAATAATTTGATAGTATTTTGCTCCATTTATTTTTCCTTCTATCCTGACAAGTGCCCCAGTCCCTGCTGCAGAGAAAAACCGCCATAACAGGAAAATACCACCTCCATGCTTTACTGGAGGAATAATTAAGTTTTAGTCTCATCTGCCTCAGAATCTTCAAGGTGCGTTTTGGCAAAGCTAGTCGTGACTGCATGTGACCTTTCTTGAGGAGTGTCTTTTTTCTTGCAACCCTCCCATACAAGCCACATTTGTGCAGAATTTGTGATATTGTTGTCCATGCACACAAATGACCACTCTTTGTCATAAATTCCTGCAACTGCTTCAGAGTTGCTGTAGGCCTCTTGGTCGCCTCTCTGGCCAGTTTCCTCCTGGCTCTTTCATCCAGTTTGGAGCGACGTCCTGATCCAGCGAGGGTCTGTGTTGTACCAAATACCTTCCACTTCTTAATAATAGACTTCACTGTGCTTCTAGGAA